GAATAACATATAGTTTATGTTTAGAAAAATCTAATAATTGTTTTGTATTAGTGTAATTTTATATGTATTGACTGAATAATACTTTAAATCAAAAATAAGAGCAGTAATTTTTAGGTGCACTCTAGTGGTTCAGCAGTATCCTTTAGGGTTTATAATACTAAAAATTGAGTTTTGATAACTGTAGTTAGCAGAGCAGAAACAAACTTTATAGGAAAAAAAATTCTATACACAAAAAATTATGTTAATACAATAATTATAATGACATTTTTAAGTTACGGCTTTATTGTATGCATGATACTTTATACTTTTTTTTGCCTATTCTATAGAACAGCATTTCCTTTGAGGTCAAAAATGTTGTTGGTGGACTTGTGGCTCTTACACATATAAAAGGTAAGATGTCTTTTAATTAATGTTGAAAAATGAAATTTATTTCCTGTACAAGATATGTAGGTCTCTTTATTTAAACAAAACTTTAGTGAAAATTGAATAATAAACTTTATCTTGAATGTTATGAAAAAGCTTTCATCATAAATTTACAACTCAACTTAAATTCCTAACTTATACAATTAATGGTCTTTATTTATCCTTCATCTGTCCTCTGGAGTTCTTTGCCATGCAATCCTCCAATGACCATGTACAGGGAAGATATCTGTTGTATTAGTGTTTTGTAATTTTGATTTATATTAATACACTTTTCTAGAGAAAGTCAATAGCTGAGAAGGGTAGTTTTCTGTTTTTAAATTTTGTAAAATCTATTTTTAGTTAACTTAATGTTTTTAATAACTTGAATTTTTATTTTGTTCCAGATTTCTGTTGACAATATATTCCATAATAAATATAAACTTCATGTAATCTTGTACATTACACTAGAACTTGTATTTCAAATTCCATCTCATGAAAATAATATCGCAAAAGTAATGTTTATGGGACTTATAAAACCAGTTAACTTGTATTTAGCAAAACTCTTCTCAATTATATTTTAGTTTAGAATAAATGAATAATTTTTATTTGTCTTTGATTTCCAGTTTTTGTTTTTGATTATTTGGATTTAAAATTCATTTGTAATCCTTCAGTTTTGTTTGTAGGAATTATTTTACAATACACATTTAATAGAATAATAAAAACCATATGATGTAATGTTACTTATAGGTAAGCATTGTAATATATATATATATATATCTTTTTCACTGTTATAACATGATTTATTATTAAACATGTTATACAAGTTACAATGATTTACTAGTGTATTAAGTTAAAATGTTAATGCTCTATTTCATATTGTTTGAATTTTTCATATCAGTTATATTTTGGAAATAAGATATACTTCCGATACGATATCTTACCTCTTCTTACAAAAAGCTTTCTTGACTTATACTACCCACTATCAGTGCAAATTTTTGCTCACCACCAGTCTTGATATTCCCAATTATTTCTGCATACTAACATTCAAATGATTATGCAGCAACCCTCCACCAATAGGAGTGCAACACTACCCCTATCATATCTAGTGCTCTCTCTAATCTTGCACATGTTAACCACTTCTCGATTGGAAGTCTTATTGAATATACATGATTTTGCTTGCAGTTTACTTCATTTATTCACTAGTTTTTACTTCCTTAATTTTTCAACTTTAAATACATTCTTCTTTACCATTTTTGTTATCTTTTGTTGATTGTTATGAATTACTTTATCTATGTTTTCTCCATTTTCAGTTTCATTAATTATGCACTCACAGTTTCAGGTGGTCATGACTACAACTGCTGTAGCAGAATTACTGACCACGTCCAATGGGTAAGAACTATGATTCTTGATTGCTCTGGTCCATCGGGAGTTGTCCAATTTCATACAACAATCAGAACAAACTCATTATTGTCATATCATGGTTTTCTGTGATTGGGAAATTTTGGATTTGGACAGCCTTTTTCCCCTCCTGAATATGTCTCTCAGTCATGTGTTATTTTGAGGGACTTGCCCAGATCTCTTTCCTCTTTGGTGGATTTTATTATTCAGATATGTTGTGTTCTATCCTTATCTCCTGTTTCCTTTGTTCTACCCCTATGCTTTTCTTGGACTAGCCTTTGGGTCATTATTTTAGTGTTTACTCCTTTCCCGGATATAGGTGTTAATGTGAGTTGTTTAGGAAGCATTTGCATTCGGGGTTGGTATGGCTCGACCCTCATGTATTGTGGACAATTATGCTTTTCATTATCATTGTTCTAACTTCCATTATTTGGACTCACAGCATTTGGTGTCATTTCTCTCATTGTGAGGATTGGGCCACTATAATTTGATTATTTTCCCCATATTTGTCTTACTCTGACCATACTTCTCAGGTCATGGCTAGTGGGGGCCAGACTCCTTCAATTTGCCCATGTTTGGAGGTCCTTGGGAGTTAATCTATGAGTTCTGAAAGTCATTTCAGCAAGTCTGGTCCTTTACTTTCATTCATATCTCCCATTGTTTTACAATTCCATTTCCTTCCCTCCTCCTCGAGATCCCATTTTCCCCAGCTTGATTCATACCAGAAGCCGTCATTTTCACCATTCTATGGACGAATGGCTGCTTCTTTCCTCCTCACAGATGAATTAACCCTACATCCTCAGTTTTCTTGCCAAGACACTGTCATAGGGGTTTGGCTTGTCAAAGTATAGCAATTCTTCCTCACAACCCAACACTCATGACTGCACATTTCCATCTTCTCTTGGGGGACATCATTAGTGCTGTAACTGTTAATTGTGGGTGGGAAGTACCTCGTTCATTTTTTTTCTTTGCAAGGGCCTTTATCCCATATTTGGATACTGTGTTGCCTAACCAGGTATTCTTAGTCTTAAATTCACATTGTATGACCTGTGATCATATACAATGCTAGATGAATGTGATATTGAGGCAGTTCCTTACATCTTAAAATTAATCCTAGTATTCAATCCTAGTGATTTACATATAATTTCATCCCCAAAATAAAGTCTTGGTAGTATCCCTGACAGAATTAAGGTATTATGGCCCTTTTCTTTAAATGTCTTTTACTTAAAAATTAACTCCTCTGATCTACCATTCGCTACATCATCAGCCTCCATTTGTATTACAAATAATGTATCAGTACTATTACTTGATTTATCAGTTATATCCACCATCCCCTGCTTTTGGATAGCATAATGTAACTCCTTTTCTCCCAATTAAACCCACAAACTATCTTATTAATGTGCCTTACTGAAGTTTTGTGGTTGACAATTGTGCTTTTAACATAATTTTGAAATCTGAAGTCAGTGTTGATTCTGATGCTAATGCCTCTAGCATGCAGGATGGTTCTGTGTCTTCTTTGTTATTTCTCATTGGAGCCAATAATGTCAAATGCCTGCTTGTTGTCTTTGATGATTTTCCTGAACAGGTGGATGCTTAAGTTGTGATATGCCCACCTTTTTCTCATGATCTTGAAGAAGGCAGTTCTTTTGCTTAATTCTATTTTCCTTCAGTATTTGAAGATCAAAGTTTGACAGATAGCCCTAATCATACAGAGCTTTTGTAGGTCAGATTTCACTTTTTTTTTTCACGCTTATTTCTATTTTAAATTATGAACATATTTTTATCACACTTGAAAGAGCTAGTCATTTTGTAATGAGATCGTTATTTCTTCCACCTTTTCCTAATATTTGGGTTATGCTTTCGGGATAAGATTTATACCTTGCTGTGTTGTTTTTATCTAATACCATGTGGCTCCTTTGTTACTTTGACACAGTAGATCTGCCTGCTATTTTTCATGGTACTCATCTTCTCCTCAGTATTTCTGCTGATATAGATATAACTTTTTCTGCATACTTTTTTATTTGGAGAAGACTAACCTGACCTTGTTTTATGTTCAGGACAAGCATGACAGGAAGAGTTGATTGGGATTCTAGCTTCCTGACTTTTTTATTAAATTTACCTTGCTTTCATAATTGATTTCTCATTTGTCATCCACTACCTCTATTCATTTGTTTCTACTGTTTTGTACAGTAAAATGCAAAAGTAGGATAGGCAGGTCTTTCTAACATTATTCTGTTCAAAATGATTACTATATTGACTTTTGAATGGTTGTATCATATTATTTGTATTTATGTGGGACCTTTGGCTTCAAGGTCCTTGGGTTAAACAGATCTTTCATTCTGGTTTTTATCTCCAGTTTCATCATTGTTCTCCTTTTTCTAACCAACTATGACCCAGTTTGCTCACATTTTCTGGAGATTAAAAAGTCTGAGGTCTTCATTAGAAAAGGGCAATCAAAAGAGTTTCTCATGCTTTTACAGGTTTTTCTCCTGTCTCTTTGTGTCCTTAAGAAATCAGCCCTGTCTCAACTCATTTATTACTTGGAGACACCTCATGTGAAAATGGAAAATATGAAATTATGTCAGTTTCTTTTTTGAGGCCATTGGATAACAAAATTGGATATCCAGGATGCTTATGTGTATGATAATCTTCACTTTTCATCTTTACTTTCCTTAGGCTTAGCTATGGATTCCTATGTTTTCTCACAAGTAGTCAAAGAGTTTAATGGGCTTTTCCATTCACTCAGCATTGACTTTCATTTCTATAAAGACAGTTGACCTATTCTGACTCATTCACCCACTCAGTCTCTTTAACATACTCAGTAACTTGAACTCTGTAGATTATTCACAAATCTCAGTTTCATTTAGAACAAATAAAGTATTTGGTACATCTGGATCAACTCAGTTTAAGGAACACTTAGCTATCTCCTACAGGTTTGAAAGCCTTGGAATCTCATGTTCATATTCTCCTCTCTCCTACTGCCAAAGACATCATTTTTGCTTTTGAGACAATGGTTTTTCATTTATGATGTCTTTCCCCTGGTTAAACACTCACATTCAACATCTCCAATGGACCTTTACTTCTCAGTATCATCTTAATTTAGATGTATTGTCACACACCTTAACTATTTCTCCCAACACTTGACTTTCTCCAGCTTTAGTTAAATAGAGAGTTCAAAACAACTGGGACTCTCATTCTTTCCTTACCTATAGACTATCATATTTTCACAGATGCTTCTCTCAAAGCTTGGAGCACTGTGTAGGGGATCAAAGTTGTTCTGGCTACTGGATTACTCATGAAACAACAGCTCACATCAACATATTAGAACTTGGGTTGTTCAGCATACTTGTTTCAAGTTTTTTCCCCCTTCAGCTAGTCAATTGGGCCACACACTCCACTGAATATGCAAGTACTTATATAAGTGCAAGCACCCTGAGTACTGAGTTTACATGTTGATGCCCCTAGTTGGATTTAGACCCCTTCTTTGATAAGAGCTGGGGACATGCATATACTGAACTTTAAACAAACATAATGAGTATTTCTTATCAACAGTCCATTTAATTTATAATAAAATTATGGTGTTATCAAAG